CCCAGTCGCTTGGCTGTCCAGAGGCATGGTCAATCCGTTCAGAAAGCAGCGTCTAGGATCTGGATCGTCTCAGGCCCAAACCCCAAACCCCAAACCCCAAACCCCAAACCCCAAACCCTAAACCCAAAACCCTAAACCCTAAACCCCTTCCTCAGCCTTAGCGTCTGCTCGGAAACCTCTACCTCTCGACTCGGCCGCGATCAGTTCTTTGCTAGAAGGAACACCCACTTGGAGCTTCATGGTACTTAAGAGCCAATGATAAGTGTACTTATAACCCACTTAGAAGCCCGTTAAGTGCCCTAATATGGTTATAAGAACAGCGACGACGGCCACCACGAGATTTGCCGGAGTACAGAGCGAGAAAAAAAGCCGAAAGCCCTCAAACCCACCTAAACCCTAAACCCTAAACCCTAAACCCTATACCCGAAACCAAGTTTCTGCTTTGGCCTCCCGGCCACATCTCGTAAGGTGCCCAAGGCTTGCAGCGCCTCCTGAGACCTCGGGAAATGGTCGGGGCTTCCATTCTTTGGCATTTGGTCAGTTGGTTTAGGGTTTAGGGTTCAGGGTTCAGGGTTCAGGGTTTCAGGGTTTAGGGTTTAGGGTTTCAGGGTTTAGGGGCTCAGAGTTTGTATAAGGGCTTCATGAGGGTTCAAATAGGATTTAGGGTTTAGGGTGTTGGGTTTCATGGTGTTAGCCAAAGCTTGTACCTTAAGAACATGATATTTCGCAAGAGTGTGCCCAGAGAAAGGCATTGGGATCTCCAGGACGGACTTAAGCTGACTGAAGTGTCCAGGGCTTAGCTACTTGCAGTGTAGCAAACCCCAAGCCGCAAACCCCAAACCCGAAACCCTATCAACCCTAAACCCGAAACCCTAAACCCTAAACCCGAAACCCCAATTCAAAGCAACCCAAAGCATCTTAAACAATCTAACCCGATGAAGCTCGTTGGGTTAGGGTTGAGGGATGAGGGTTGAGGGTTAGGGCTTCGGGATAGACGCCCTCAACCCTCAACCCTCAACCCTAAACCCTAGACCCCCAAAAAGGTTGGAGTTTTGTGATGGCGGATTTTGGAGTTTGTGGCGTTAGGGTTTCGATTCTTTTGGTCCTACAGAGTTGAAGAACCCTAAACCCTAAACCCTAAGCCCTAAGCCCTAAACCCTAAACCCTAAACCCCTGAACAACAACTGTTGCCCCTGGAGGTTCCGTAACTGAGGGTCCGGGCATGGTCAGCGCCAGCGAGTTCGGCTGCAGCCACCGGAAGCCGCAACGCTGCTCGGGCGGCGGTGGCCGCGCGGGTGCCTGCCAGCAGGTACCCTCAACCCTAAACCCTAAACCCTAAACCCTAAACCCTAAACCCTAAACCCAAAACCCTATATGCTAGACCCTAAACCCTAAACCCTAAACCTTAAACCCTAAACCCTACCCTAATCATAGAAAAGCTGGTTGAGCTTCAGCAACCAGGTGCTTTTTGGGCAAGAGGGCTAAGCCGTTACATGCACACTCATATCCTTAGGTTTTAGGGTTTAGGGTTCCCCCCCACTACATTGAACGCCCCAAACCTTAAAATCTCCCAAAGCAAAGAAAACACAAAGTAGAACCCCATACATACTTAGAAACATACATACATACATACATACATACATACATACATACATACATACATACTCGGAGCGCTCTAGATAGTCTGAAAGCCATTTAGGTAAGCACCCGAAACCCCAAAAGCACCTACTGCAGACCCTTGAACTGATGGTTTTTGACGACCTTTCAGGCATGGAGCCCCCCCCTCTAAACACTACGAAGGGTCGCCAGACCTTCGAGCCGAACCCTAAACCCTAAACCCTAAACCCTAAACCCTAAACCCTAAACCCTAAACCCTAAACCCTAAACCCTAAACCCTAAACCCTAAACCCTAAACCGCAATACCAGGATGCTACAAGTAAAGAGGGGGGGCGGGGTAGGTGTCGGATTTAAGGTTTAGGGCTTATAGGGTTTATAGGGTTTATAGGGTTCGTAGTGTTTATGGGGTTTATAGGGTTTATAGGGTTTATAGGGTTTATAGGGTTTATGGGGTTTATAGGGTTTATAGGGTTTATAGGGTTTATAGGGTTTATAGGGTTTATAGGGTTTATAGGGTTTATAGGGTTTATAGGGTTGAGGGTTTAGGTTTTGGGGTTTAGGGTTGAGGGTTAGGTTTCGGGCTTAGGCATAGGGCTTAAGGATCTTATAGGGTTTACGGTTCAGGGCCGCTTTCCCATGACAGGCAGGGCTTTACCTTGCCAACGGCATTTTGGACTATCGTGTCCAAACCCCAAACCATGAGGGTTTAGGGTTAGGGCTTGTGCCCTGCAAACCCTGAATCTAACCCTTGAACTCACCTTCCGTCGTTTGACAAAGACTCGCAGTTTTGCCTCAAGTCCCGCAAGAGCTGTACAGGCAGGTTTGACATCGAAGCTCCATGTATCGCAGAGCGCCCAACAAATTCGAGGCCTGCACGCTGAACCCTAAACACAAAACCGCTCAAAACACCTAACCCTTGAACCCTACACACTGAAACACCCTGAGCCCTACACCCCTGACCCCCTAAGCCCCAAACCCTAAGCTCGATAACACTTAAACCCTAAACCCCCATAAGACCTAAACACCTTCAAGCCTCCTTTTCTTATGCTCCTCAGCTCCCTGGCATCCCTAAACCCTAAACCCTATACAGCCCGATATCCCTAGACCCTAACCCTAAACCCTATAGACCCTAGAGACCCTACAGCCCCTATAGACCCTGTAGACCCTATACACCCCATAGACCCTATAGATTCCATAGACCCCATAGATCCTATAGACCCTATAGACCCTATAGACCCTACAGACCCTAGACAATAAGCCCTCCTTTGTTGAACAGCTCTCAGCTTCCTGGCATCCGCAGGACCCAAGCGAAAGTGGAGGGGAGCTGCGCCACGAAGGCTTCCACGGAGAGCTGCTCCAAGGCCGCAACCTCCCCGAATCCAGGGTCCCCCACGTATGGGCCCTTCATTTGGGTTTAGGGTTTAGGGTTTAGGGTTAAGGTTTAGGGTTTAGGGTTCATTTAGGGTTTAGGGTCTAATTAGGGTTTAGGATTTCGGGTCCCTGTTATATATTTAGGGTTTAGGCTTTAGGGTCTGGGGTTCCAAGTATATATAGGCCCCTAGTTTGGGTACCTTGTTATATCATTAACCCTGGTAGACACTACTTGGAGGTTCATGGTACTTAGTAACCCAGTCATACTGTACTTATAAGCCAGTTATAACCCCATTCGGGTACCTAAGGGGCTTATAAGTGGGTTATAACTACACTGATAATTGGGTAATATAAGTACCCTGAACCTCCAAGTATATATATTTATATATATGTGTATAGTAAGGGTCCATACGTACTTCGGATCCCTACAAAGAAAGGGTAAGGGGACAAGACTACAAGCCCAAGGTTCGGAACCTTCGACAGATGTGGTGATTTGAAGGATTTAGGTTTGGGGTTTAGGGTTTAGGGTTTAGGGTTATAGGGATGTAGGGTTAGCGGGGCCTTGGGGCCATCGGGGTTTAGGGTTGAAGGGATATCAGGGGTTTAGGGTTGAAGGGACATCGGGGTTTGGGTTGAAGGGATTTTAGGGGGTTTAGGGTTAAAGGGTTATTCGGGTTTAGGGTTGAAGGGATAGAGGGGGGTTTAGGGTTATAGGGGTTTGGGTTGAAGGACTTACGACTCGGGGTTGAAGGGTTTAGCGTTTTGGGAGTTCGGGTTTAGGGTTGGAGGGACTGAGGCTCTAGGATTTGGTGTTTGTATCAGGGGCTTCGGGGTTTAGAGCTGCAGCGGCCGCATTTGAGATTTAGAGGTTAGGGGTTTAGGGCTTCGGGGTTTCAGGGTTGTGGGCTTAGGGTTTAAGGCTTTAGGCTTTGTGGGTGATTCTTGGAGCGTGGGGTTCTGGATGTCTGTTGGGTTTAGGGCCTGAATTCAAAAACCTAAACCCTAAACCCTGAACCCTGGACCCTGAACCCTGAACCCTAAACCTAAACCCTAAACCCTAAACCCTGAACCCTGAACCCTAAACCCTAAACCCTACACCCCAAACCCGAAACCCTACCTACACCCTGAACTGGGTTGCCTCGCCCAAAGCAGCCAGGACCTCCTCAGCGGAGCCTTCGGTGATGGCCATGTCCTTGTTGAATACCGACGCCTCAGGCTTTGGGGTTTGCGGTTGAGGGTTTAGGGTTTAGGGTTCAGGGGTTAGGGTTTGGGGTTCCCCCGCCTCAGTTGAGGGTTTAGGTTTAGGGTTTGGGGTTAGGGTTTAGGGCTTAGGGTTTAGGGCTAGGGTTTCCCCCGAAGGCAAGCCGCAAATAAACTACACACGCACCCATTACCTTTGATATGCAGGATCTTGCAAGCCGTGCAACATATGTGTATATATATATATGTATATATATATATACATATATATATATATATATATATATATATTCGCTTATTTATTTATATTCGGGTTTCGGGTTTGGGTTGAGGGTCCTTATTATAAGGGAATCCTGCAAATGGGGGTCTGTATTAAGGGTCCCGCATTTTCGAAAGAAGACAACCTCCAACTTTTGCCAAGAAAGCCCAAAAAAGCGAATGCCCCTCCCTGAGATCAGCCCAGAATGAGCCAAGAGTATTGCTACAAGGTCCTTAAGCACTAAACCCTAAACCCTAATTCATGAGACATCCCTCTCGCAGAGGCCTCTCCGATGGGGAAGTTCCCGAAACAGTCACAGCGGCGCATTTGAACAGGAGGAGCTGCCGGTATGTTAGAGAAGAGTACATGCAAAGAAAAGCCTGTCCAACGTTGACTCAGCCAACTGCAGACGTGTCCTCGGCCCTTGCAGCACTCGAGCCCAGGGTCGGGAGGGTGGGGCGCGCCTTTGGCGCAGCTTTCTGACTGGAGCCCCATATGAAGATATGACATGACATAATCACACAGAGTTACAGTTGATGCCACTGCTCCTCGGCTACCCTTGCTGCAAACGGCAGGCATCAACGTGCGCCGAACTGTCGTTGCATGAATATGGGGTGCATTCATGAGACATCCCTCTCGCAGAGGCCTCTCCGATGGGGAAGTTCCCGAAACAGTCACAGCGGCGCATTTGAACAGGAGGAGCTGCCGGTATGTTAGAGAAGAGTACATGCAAAGAAAAGCCTGTCCAACGTTGACTCAGCCAACTGCAGACGTGTCCTCGGCCCTTGCAGCACTCGAGCCCAAATACCAGCACTGGCCGTGAGCAGAAGTGCACACGGACGAAAATTGCCAAATAGAAGGAAAACAAATTAGCCAGCAGTGTGAATGTCTTGCGTTTCCACCACGAAGCCGGCGCCGCAAAGCTGTCTTCACGAGCGGAAGCAGACTCGCGGAGACCCGTGCGTGCAAAATCAGCACCAGGCATCTTCCAGCTGCCTGTCAGACCACAGCAGAAGCCCCAAGCTCCTCCCATGCCGCAGAGTGCCCGGAAATTGCACACCGAGCGATGGCAGAACCTCCTGTAACAATAAACCAAAAAACCAATTCGAAAACAGCTACTGAGCAGTGAGAGACAACAGGATGCACGTCGTGCTTTCTGAAAGCAGGCCCACTGTCAACTGCCCAGGCTGCTATAGTTCCCGAGCTTCACTATGAACCCGCCGTCGCCGCATTCCCCGGGAAGGGGAATCAGCGGGGTTTTCGCTTGAAGGCCCGAAGATGAGATGTACTTGAAGGCTCCCGGCCAAAGTCAAAGCAGCCACTTTTCTCAGTAGCCTGTTCAGCTGGGAAGAACTGCGTCCCTTAGCAGCTGCACCCAAGAGGACAGCAGAATCCAACAGCACCACCACCCTGGTTGAGTGGTGGCTTTTGGTTCGCAGAAGCCACCGCAAGAAAAGCACAAGCGCCTCACCTTCCAACACGTTGATGTGCGCAGGGAACTTGCAACGCACGCTGAAGATGTCTGAGAAGTCCTCCAACTTCATGTTGAGCTTGTGGGCCTTAGTCAGTCGCTCAACTCCCAGCATTCCGGCAGCTCCACCATCCATGACGACAAAAGCTCCTTGCTTCTCCGCCACGCGCGCGAGTTTGCGAGCTGCCGCTGAAGTTGTCCGAATGCATGAAGCGCCGAACCCATAGGAAGTGCTTGCATCGGTCGCCCCCACGAGTGGAACGAACTGCCTTCGGAGATCACAACGCCAGAAGACTCCCAAGCAAAGACTGCACGCCAACTCGGCCAAAACCTCTGCAGGGAGTAGAGCGTCGTGACCATCGCCTGGAAGGGTGAATTTGTAGATGTCGCTGTAGACGGAAAGCTTCGGACGAACCAGAAGGTCGAACCACTGAAGGGCCCCCAGCAACTTTTGCACGCCTTTTGGAGAAGCCACTCTGCACACATGAAGATGCAGAAAAGCGAGAATCATTGCCATGAACCTTGCGCCAGGCACGTCCAGGAAGCGGCCGTTGTCCAGGTCGACTCCGACGCAAGTGCCGCAAAGCTCATCATTCACATCCTTTGCAGAGTTACGAACTGCTCCCCTGGCCTGCATACTTTCGTCAAAGTCCCGGGCAGCCTTAGAGGTCGCACCTGGGCCAGCATTGCTGAAGATCATGACATCATCGGTGGCCACAGCCGCTACCAAGTCGAACGCGGTAGGAGTTTCCTGGTCACATGCCATGAGAGCATTCTGCGGTATGCCAGCCTCCTGACAAACACTCAGCATCTCCTCTTGCGCCACGTAAGAGGACCAGGAAAAACCCATTGGCCAAACATGATGCAAAGGGAAAAGGGGTCCCTCACACCATGTCTGACCAGCCTCCAAGTGGTGCTTCTGCTCATGAACTGGCATTCCTGCTTTGCAAAGTTCAGCAGCTGAGAGCGCTGGCTTGGCCATGTACACGCGGAGAGACTGAGGGAGTTTGAGCTGGTCAAACCAACAGGAAGCATCCCGCTTGCTGAGCCGAAGCGGGTGCTCCTGGGTGCACTCGAGGAAAGTCAGGCAGTAGGCGAGGCCAGATGCCGAGGCTTAGGAGGCCTTGCTGAAGCTTCTGACAGACGGCGCCCGTCCCAGACTTCGCGCAAACGAGAGCCTCCAGGTTTTCCGACAGCAAAAGTGGTCCCTCCTGCCTTGCACCACGTTGACAGCCCCAGCTTCCCGCAACGCAGCTGCTTAGCTACGAGCTTGGCGTACTCTTCCCTGGACCCATGCGACACAGTCCCAAAACAATCCAGGTGTTCTGCAGAGGCAGGAACAATTTCGCTGTCGCCACACAGTTTCGACTGAACGTCGGGCGGCAGGTGCGGCAAGGGATCACATAAGCCAGCCGCTTCAAGGTTGTCAACCCGATCAGCGACCAAGTCCAGAAAAGAGGAAGCTACAGCTGCAGGACGAAGAGGTCGGGCGACGAAGTCCGGCAGAAAGCGCTCCCAGGTTCCATTTTCCACAGCCTGAAGGCGATCCAGCACGGAGTTTGCGCGGGCCACCACGTTAGCCACCACAGTTCGTTGGCAAGCGGTATGCTTTGCTGGAGCGCGGGCCCCTAGCTTCACTCCATACAACCAATTCAGCGCTGCCACAATGACATTGATGAAGCTCAGCAGAACACGCCAGCGGCCCACGAGCATGCCAGCAGGTTTGTGTTCCAGTCCACTAACTGGAGCAAGCGGGAAAACGTCACGTTGCCGGCCTGATGTAGGCCCTGGAGCAAAACCTGCCACAAAATGACCAAAACGGCCAGTGTCGTGAACAGCAGCATGTCTCAAGCGGTCAAGAAGCCACACTCTGTCTTGAGGAACGTCTGCATGACGGTCAGCTCGCCAAACCAGCCATGCCGCTCGTCGAGCACGAGCGAGTCGCCTACTGGACGGCGAGCGAGCTCTGGCAGAAGTCTTGGGCATCCGCTCAGCGCAACACTGCAGCGCCAGCCGCTGATTTCTGTGAGCCCGGGCCCTATGCAAGTCTCGCCGCAGCTTGGAGGGCGACATGCAGAAAACGTCGTGGAGCACCCAAAGACAGAAAGTCACAGGCGGAAAGCCACAAACTCCTGCAACTAGTTCTCAGATGCGGAATGCCATCAGTTTCCCACTCCACGCTGCGCAAGATATGCACACCGCGCCTTTGGCGCAGCTTTCTGACTGGAGCCCCATATTCAACTCAACTCAAACCGCCAGGGTAACAGAGTCTGCTACGACGGAGCGAGAGGTTGCCGTTAGCACCTCCCTCATCCTAAAACTCCAGGCGCTGCGCGCCCTTGTACCTGATTCGGCACAACTGGGCTCGGGCTCCCACGATGCAACCACGCACCATGCCAGCATCGGCACACAGTACGTGGCACACCAGAAGCAGCCACACAGAGCTCACTACCAAAATCAGCCTACGCTTTGAGCGACAGGCAGAGTGTACGTCATGCCTACTTTGCTGTCATCTCGGTCAGCTTGAAGTATAATTCGCGGCATCTGGCCCCAAATTCGTTGCATCTGGGCCTGGATTTCTGCTTACGTACCGATGGGTTTGCCGCTTCATTCTTTGTACAGACCAAGAAATTTGCCACTTCAATCCTTGGACAGAGCCCTCTGATGCGGTATGCAACTTTGATCTCGGAGCCCCAACTTGGAGCATTTTCTGAAGAAGACATTGAAAACAACAGCCGTAAGTGTTTTTTTATTTGCAAACAAATGGTTTGACCCCCCGTACATACGTGATGTTCCACATCGTGCAGCAAACGTTTCAGCCACATGTTTCGTTTTCCTTACTAAGGCCAAACCTTCACCCTCACACAAAAGAACAACCTAAAACCTTCAACCCTCAACCACAAAACGCCTAAACCCTACCCTCAACCAAACGTCCTTAAACCCTAAACCAAACCTTACCTAAGAACCTCTAAACCCTAAAACCGAAACCCTTACCTGCAGCCACAAACCCCGAAACCCTAAGCGCACACACCCTGACCCTCAGACCCAGAACCCCTAAACCCTAAGCCCGCAGCCCTGCGCCGCGAGCAGAAGGGTCCCAGCCGCGCGGAGCCAGGGTCGAGGGTTGGGGGATTTAGGGTTAGGGTTTAGAGCCACTGTTCAAGTGGCGCCACTGTTCAAGTGGCCATAGCACTGCTCAAGTGTTCCACTGTTCAAGTGGCGCTGAATTTATGCCACTGCTCAAGTGGCCATGCATGTCATGCCATCATGGTAGCCCCAAAAAGATAAACACGCATGACGAAGTCTATATAACTAGTGCCACATGCCATGCTAGCTCCAAAACAAACATGCATGTTTAGGTCTATGGAACTAGTGCCCCCATTTTTTGGTCCAGATGCAGATCGGGAATGCAATCGCAGGACACTGGCCCGGGCCAGGAGGGGGGAGGGGGGCTTGGGGTTGAGGGCAAGGGTAGGCTGAGGGTGGAGGGGTTTTGGGCTGAGGGGAGGTTTTGGGCTTAGGGTTTAGGGGTTTGGGGTTGTGGGTAAAAGGTTAAGGGCTTGGCTCAGGGCGTAATGTTTTGGGGTTGAGGGTCAGGGCGGGTGCTTTTTGGTTTCGGGCTTGAGGGCTTTCTGGTTGAGGGTATGGGTTAAGGCCAGATAAGGCTTTTTTGGTTGAGAGTCGTAAGGGTAATTGGGCTTAGCGTTTAGTTGGGAAACACCATCTCTATAAATTCTAAAATCATTGCATCATTGAGTGCTACGAGCAATGTGGGAATCAAGTCCAAGATTTACTAACTGTTGGGTGATCGGTGCCACTGAGGCGGCCTCAGTGGTTTAGCGCTTAAGGGTTTAGGGGTTATGGTTTTCGGGTTGAGGGTTTAACCTTAAAGCCGAACTTAGCCTTAAAACCTAGACCCAGCCAGGCATCGAGGACGCTGCGGTGCCAGGTCCTGAGCACATTGGGCTCAACAGATTTAAGGCTTAGGGTTTGTCTCTATAAACGCTTAAATCATTGGGCACTACTAGCAAATTGGGAATCAAGTCCAAGTGTTATGGGTGGGGGGTCATGGGTTTCGGGTAGATAGGGCTCAAGGGGTTTGCACCACTGAGGCGGCCTCAGTGGTTTAGCGTTTAAGGGTTTAGGGGTTATGGGTTTCGGGTACATAGGGCTGAAGGGGTTTCTGGCTTAGGGTTTGAGGGGTCCAGGACAGGTTTGGGGTTGAGCGGAATTTAAGGTTTCAAGGCTTTTTGGGAGGGCTTGGGTTTAGGGAAGGAACTGGCGCCGAGGTGTCCTCGGTTCCAGTTCCTGAGCTCAGGGTGTAATGTGGGTTACTTAGCTGTGTAGTCTAAGGGTAAAGGCTTTGGCTTGGGCTGAAGGACTCCAAAATCTCCCACAGCCCCAAATCCCTAAACCCTAAGCCCAACCCTCACCCCAAACCAAAAACCCGTCAACCCTAAGCCCAAGCCTTACCCTCGACCTGAAACCCATCCCAAACCCTTCAAACCCTGAGCCATAAACCCTTTGAGCCCTATCTACTCAGGAAGGAACTGGCACCGAGG